TAAAATGTTCTTATCACAACCTTTCTAAATATGGTGAGATCCAGAGAATAAGTGGCCACTTGAGATATTATATCTTTTGTGTGAAGAGCACTTTGAAAGGGCAGGACGTAGTGCTGTTAGCAGAGAAGAAGGGGGTTGTGGTTTGTAAAATAAAGTGAACCAATATTTGGAAATGTCATTGTTCGTTGATAACTGGGTGAAGGATTAAGAAAAGGAGTACTTGGCACTTGCTGCTGTAATGCAGTGTGTGTTCTTGTTTGAATGCCGCAGTGTATGTGTAATGCTGGTTGGCTCTGGTGCGGTGCCCACCCACCCCCACCCCATCGCAGCCCAGTTTACTCCAAAATAAAAGGAAGGGAGGAAAAAATAACACAGAAGATATTTTTATCCAAACTCTGTCGAGCCTTATTTCTTGTCCTCTCTCCTCATACTGTATTTTCATTTCTTATCTTTGTCTCCCTCTCTCCTTGTCCCCCCCCCAATGAATAGAAAGATTACTGGTATAATGGGACTGGAAGGGGTGGGAAATTGGATGACTTTATTGTTACAGGAATGAGGAAACATTACAAAGAAAATTGTTGAGCTGGGAAAAGTAATTGTCTGTGTTTCTGTGATTGTGCAAGTGATGTTCATTTAGAGTTGCTTAGGTTCATCTTCCAGAGAATTCTCTCCAGTCTGTGTCCGTATCCTGGCAACGCTGTGTCAGATCCACCTGTTCGATGGGCGTCGGCCCAAACATACACGTGCACACGTATATACATTCACTCACACAATCTACCTGTCCTGTCTGCATCCTGTTCTTACAACCCCAAATCAGAAAAAATTGGAACGGTATGTAAAATCGAAATTAAAACTGAAAATACTGATGCGTAAATCATCTGTGTTCTGCATTACAGTGAAAACAATACAGCAGCACGTTATTTGATGTGATACCTCATCAGTTTTATTCTTTGTTTAAAATAAACACTCATTTCAATCCTGATGCTGCAACACATTCCAACAAAAATTGGGACAGTAAAGCGTTTACCACGGTGTGATGTCATCATTCCTTAAGTGATTCAGTGTGTCAGGCGTCATTTTGTCCCATTCTTCCTGCAAACAAGTCTTAAGGTGCAACAGTCCTGGGTCATCTTTGACACAATTTGTGTTTCAAAATGCGCCACACATTCTCTACTGGGGACAAGTTGGGACTGCCGGCAGGCCAATCCAACACTCGTCCCCTTTTCCTCCACAGCCAGGCCTTAGTAATGTGCAGTGTGAGGTTTTGGATCGTCTTGTTGAAATATACATGGGCATCTCTGGAAAAGATGTCATCTTGAAGGCAGCATGTGCTGCTTCTAAATCCCTCTTTATTGTTCAGCAGTAATGGAGCCGTCACAGAAGTGTAATGACCTTTGCCACGGGCACTGACACAACCCCAGACCATGTTTCAACACTTAATAAATACAGTTACATTTCAGAAAGGCCCAGTCGTTTCCTGAAACAGCTGGACACTGTAGTTTGTAACAATCAGGAGGAGGTGGTGTTTCTGTTGGGGACCATGCTGAAGTTGGCAGCTGGAGTCACTTGAGCTTCTTGAAGACATTTTCCTGTCTCATTGAGAAGCTTCTTCAGACTGGTGGGATGTACCATATGCAGGAAATACCACTGTCTTTGTTGGTTTGTGTCAAATGAAAAAGATGCCTGAGAAACAGTGGGAAAACAAGCCAAATGAACAACAAAGGAGAGCAAACTGTACAGTAAACAGAGAGAAAGAGCAGCAAAGGCTTCCACTGTGTGCATGTGTAACTGTTGTGTGAGTGTGTGTCATCTCTTCCAGATAGATAGTTCCAGAGCACGGAATGGGCTGTTGTCTAAAAGAGCAGCCCTGGGTGCTGCTATTGATTCCGGTACCTCTTTCTCTGCTGTGGTCACACATAACTAGGTTCAGCGCCACAGAACTCGTCCAATCAACTGACTTCATACTACTCACCTGGTCACGTGCAGGCCAAACAGATTATTATAATCACAAAACCTTCAATCCCATTATATCTTGTCTGATTTCATCTGGCCATTGAGTGTGTGTGTGTGTGTGTGTGTGTGTGTGTGTGTTACCAGCAGTAATTTAAAGGGACATACAGAATAGGTGTGGTAAAATACAACCACACACAAGCACACACAAGCACACACATATATTACACAGCCTTTTACTCTTCCTCTGTCACCATCCTTGTGACACACAGTCAGTTACATCTGGAAGACTATGTGCTGATGAACATTACGTATGGCGTTAAAGCTACATTATGAAATGTCTTTGTATCACAGAGGATGAAAAGAACAAGTTAACACCAAATTGCATTTAAATGAATTAATTGTAATTTAGAGTTTTGCAAGGGCAGATATGTAGAAAATCTGAGAAACAAATACAGGTGCTGGTCATAAAATTAGAATATCATCAAAAAGTTGATTTATTTCATTAATTCCATTCAAAAAGTGAAACTTGTATATTATATCCATTCATTACACACAGACAGATATATTTCAAATGTTTATTTCTTTTAATTTTGATGATTATAACTGACAACCAATGAAAACCCCAAATTCAGTATCCCAGAAAATTAGAATATTGTGAAAAGGTTCAGTATTGAAGACACCTGGTGCCACACTCTAATCAGCTATTTGACTCAAAACACCTGCAAAGGCCTTTAAATGGTGTCTCAGTCTAGTTCTGTAGGCTACACAATCATGGGGAAGACTGCTGACCTGACAGTTGTCCAAAAGACCACCATTGACACCTTGCACAAGGAGGGCAAGACACAAAAGGTCATTGCAGAAGAGGCTAGCTGTTCCCAGAGCCCTGCGTGCAAGCACATTAATAGAGAGGCGAAGGGAAGGAAAAGATGTGGTAGAAAAAAGTGTACAAGCAAAAGGGATAACCGCACCCTGGAGAGGATTGTGAAACAAAACCGATTCAAAAATGTGGGGGAGATTCACAAAGAGTGGACTGCAGCTGGAGTCAGTGCTTCCAGAACCACTACGCACAGACGTATGAAAGACATGGGTTTCAGCTGTCGCATTCCTTGTGTCAAGCCACTCTTGAACAACAGACAGCGTCAGAAGCGTCTCGCCTGGGCTAAAGACAAAAAGGACTGGACTGCTGCTGAGTGGTCCAAAGTCATGTTCTCTGATGAAAGTAAATTTTGCATTTCCTTTGGAAATCAGGGTCCCAGAGTCTGGAGGAAGAGAGGAGAGGCACAGAATCCACGTTGCTTGAGGTCCAGTGTAAAGTTTCCACAGTCAGTGATGGTTTGGGGTGCCATGTCATCTGCTGGTGTTGGGCCACTGTGTTTTCTGAGGTCCAAGGTCAATGCAGCTGTATACCAGGAAGTTTTAGAGCACTTCATGCTTCCTGCTGCTGACCAACTTTATGGAGATGCAGATTTCATTTTCCAACAGGACTTGGCACCTGCACACAGTGCCAAAGCTACCAGTACCTGGCTTAAGGACCATGGTATCCCTGTTCTTAATTGGCCAGCAAACTCGCCTGACCTTAACCCCATAGATTTTCTATGTGGTATTGTGAAGAGGAAGATGTGATATGCTAGACCCAACAATGCAGAAGAGCTGAAGGCCACTATCAGAGCAACCTGGGCTCTCGTAACACCTGAGCAGTGCCACAGACTGATCGACTCCATGCCACGCCGCATTGCTGCAGTAATTCAGGCAAAAGGGGCCCCAACTAAGTATTGAGTGCTGTACATGCTCATACTTTTCATGTTCATACTTTTCAGTTGGCCAAGATTTCTAAAAATCCTTTCTTTGTATTGGTATTCAGTAATATTCTAATTTTCTGAGATACCGAATTTGGGGTTTTCATTAGTTGTCAGTTATAATCATCAAAATTAAAAGAAATAAACATTTGAAATATATCAGTCTGTGTGTAATGAATGAATATGATATACACGTTTCACTTCTTGAATGGAATTAGTGAAATAAATCAACTTTTTGATGATATTCTAATTTTATGACCAGCACCTGTATAAAAAGATGTGAACTGACTGACCTTTTTTGTTGGAATTAAATAAACTGTGTTAATAAAATGTGAACCAAGTAATAAGACTCTATAAGAGCACAATTTGTGTAGCAGTAGTGGTTGAAGTGGAACCAGCTTCATACACAGCAGCATGTTCCTGCAGAGCATGAGACACTACACCTGAAGCACGCTACTGTGGCTTCTCAAAGACACATCTCGTTCGAGGTTCGTACCATCGTCATGTAGTCCCAGAACGGAGGAGAAGAGGCCAAACAGAGGAGCTGTCTCTGCCGTGTTGTACACGACTGCTGACAGGAGGAGCGAGGGAGGGCAGGGGTGGCCATGATTAATGTGGAGGCTCTTTGGACCCAAGAATATCTTCCCATTGCCCTCCATCTTAGCTAATGTGACCTGCCATAAGGATCACTCATTAATGTGTGTGTGTGTGTGTGTGTGTGTGTGTGTGTGTGTGTGTGTGTGTAGTGTAGGTATTGCTTTATGTACTATTCTGTTATTTATTTTCTTGTTCTGTGTAATATCCACAGAATGCACACTGCACTGCCATTCTGACAGTACTGTCATACAGTGTGTATTATTGTGGCTGTTTACAGGTTAATCAGACACACACTTCTTTTCATTTTTGGAGGATTTGAAAAGACTTAATGTTTTGACTCTCTGTCCAACTGCCTTTTATTTCAGGAATCTAATTATAATCCAGTCCATGTGACCCAAATATGACTTTACAACTTCCAGTACTATGTGTGAATATTTTAGATAGTAATACTAGTAGATTGTAAATGAACTTATTCTCGTGCTAATGTAATTCAATATCCTGTTTCCTCATTCATTTCTTCTCCCATTTTCTGATTTTTCCACCCTCCACTCTTCCTCCTCCTCATCGCTCTTATTTCTTACCACCCTCTGCCCCGTGACTCTTCACCATCCTCCTCCTCCTCCTCCTCCTCCTCCTCACTCTCAGGTACATGATGAATGTGACATGGGATGGCAGAGACTTGTCATTCACAGAAGAGGGCTACCAGGAACACCCGAAGCTGGTGGTCATTGTTCTCAATAAGGAGAGAGAGTGGGAGAAGGTAGGATCCACACCTTTGTGTAGATGTGTATGTGCATGCAAAGCTGTGCACGTTTTTGAGAACTCAAAGTAATTTTAAAATTCTTTAGACTTTTGTGACTGTTGTTTTTAGCAAAATGAAATCACTGGAGGAAAGTTATTAAATAGTCAAGTACTGTTCTTTCCGTCAGTACAATCTGAGATACTTGTGTTTGACTGTTTCTATTTGATGTTTTACGTTTTTATAAAGAATTGCCACTGTAAATGTCTCAGTATTCTTCGCATTTAATGACTTAAAATGGCAGCCATGTATCTTTTAATGCCTCATGTATTTAATGCCCCAGTAGCTCACAGTTGAAAGAAGGATCAGTAAGTGGATGGAGGAAGGATTGGATAAACAAGAATGATAGGTGGTGTCTTTTTGCCTTCTCATTCGTGCTCCTCTGACCTACTGTACCATCCGCACTGCTTTTTGTCTCCTTCTTCCCACTGCCGCCTTCTCTCGTATCATCTTTTCCTTCCTCACACCTCTATTCGTCTTCTTTCTCTTTCACTGACCTTCTATTCTTTTATCTTTCCCTCCTTTCCTCCATTTTTCCCTTTATCCCTTCTTCTCTTCTTGCCTATGCCAGATGACCTGTGCACTCTGTGTGTCCTTAGCTCTGATTGCTGTTGTGATCCCTGATAGTGCCTCAAACCACAGTTAATCAAAACCTTGAACCTCAGTTATTGGGGTGGCAAGGGGTCACTGCTCTTGTATGTGTGAATGTTTACTCTTCAACTCTGGTTATTGACAGAAACAATGTTCAAGAGACTTGCACTTTGACCAGTATGGTTTCTATTCAGGTCACATCTGTGTGTGTTGCAGCATTGAGTTTAGTTTGCCGCAATCTGCACAGTCTCTACCCAGTGTCTTAGAGTAGCTTTTCATATTTCTTACTGACACCCACCACGCACTTGCACAAAAGACCCTTTGTTGGTGTGCTGAGGGAAGGTAGACTGTGCTGTTGTAAACCCAAAACCTGTGAAATTGATCAGTGCCACTTCAGTGTGGTGCAGCAAAAGAAACTGAAGACACAGAGAGCCAAAGTGGAAATGTAACGGGGAACACCTTCTCTCTCCTCTCTCTCTCAGTCTGGTGCAGCCGTCCCACCCATGCGCCACAACTCAGCAAACAGAGACTTCCATGTAACTGCACTAAAATAAGGATATGCACAAAAAATATAAAACGTGTCCCCTTGAAGAACAGGAGGAAGAGAGCAATATGGAGTGATAGTGAGATGAGCGAGTGATAGAGACAGATGGGCTGAGATAGCCAAAGCAAATGAGTGGGAGAACAGGAGACATAATGAGAGGAAGAGAGCGATGGAAATGAGCTCCCACCATGTGGAGGTTTGCTCTTTTTTTCACCCCCCCAACAGGTGTTTAGCGCTGAGCTTCTCAAAGCATCCACACCTGCTGTTCATCGCAACACACGCCTGCAGCTGGATAGTTGCTATATTTGAGTGTTTTGGCAAGAGCTGCTTTTAAGTCCCTACACCTGTTTGGCCGGATGTGTGTGGGGGGTTTGAGGATTTTGTAATTGTGAGTGAAGTATTGTTTTATTCAAAGAAGCACAGATTGAATCAAGTCACGCGGGTATATTTGACTGGATCAGGAGGCTGGATCCAAGATGGCGTTAAGGGGGATTTGTGCAAAATTAGGCATTTATGTGGAAAATGTGTTATAACAGCTGAACAGATCTACGTGGTAGTGACAAAGAATAATAACTGAGATGGTTGTCTTTGCCAGGAGTGTAAGCACTCACCATACATTAATGTGAAGAAACAAAAATGGTGAATACATATGCTTTTTTAGCAATAAATTAGTTCAGCTTAGCTCTAGTATCAAAGAATTTAAAGGATCCTCTTTTACTTTGTGGATGAAGGCTGCACAAAAACACACATGGGAGTGTATGTTTTACCTTTAGTGATGACTCCTATTTTTGTGACCAGCTAGAGGTGGCTAGAGTTGTTACTGAAGTAGAAGGTCTAATTAAGCCTTAAAGGATAAGGCCAGTCATTTTCTATAGCCTTTTCAGCACGCCCCATACAGAGACTGAAACCTGCCTCTACCCATGGTGTCAGTCTCTAACCTGTATTGGCCGTTGTCTGTTGTTCAAAAACTATGAAAAACATGCACTGCTGCACTGCACTGGGTGACATGTTACACACAGTATAGATACCGGCTTTCATCAGAATTAATTTGACAGTTCTAGGTGAAAGGTTATCCAATCAGAATCGTTGTCCCACCCCAAGCCCCT